TTTTTGGTTTGTTCTAGTGGGGCTTTTCTTATAACTACTTTCTTTGCAAGCTACCAAGTCATTCAGTTCAACTACAGAAGCTTATCTCCTCTCAAGAAGACAGAAACATGAAAAAGAATGCTTGGTGGAATGAAGAAGTGAAAGAAGCTGTGGATATGAAAAAAAAATGCATGTAAATGAATGATTGCTACAAAAAATGATGAGAGAAATATACTGCATAATCTGTAAATAAAGAAAAAAATAAATCAAAAAGAATTTAGATAAAAAAAGCAATAACCTGTTAAGATTAAAAGAGGCAGAGAAAATGTAAAAACTGTTTTGGAAGTGAATGAAGAGGGTTTAATAAAGAGCCCCCAGCAGAATGAGTTGAATTAAAACAGAAAAGTGATGAAACTATTTGAGATGAACTGAGAGAATGCTGGAGGGAGTATTTTAGAGATTTGTATGGAAATGATAGTGATATATTAAAGAATGCTATAAAGCTATAAATGTTAGTGCTTAAGAAAAACAGGAAGTTATAAATGCTGTAAGCATGTTGAAAAACAGGAAGACTATAGATAAAGTAACTGGAGAAATGTTAACATACAGATCTGATTTGCTTACACAGTAGCTGTGCAACTTGTTTAGTGTGGGTGTGCAAAGCCTGCATCTCTGCCTGACAACTGGTAGAATTCCATTATTGTTCCCTTTCACAAAGATAAAAGTAGGAAAAGTAAATGCAACAACTACAAAGGGATTTTTTTAAAAGAAGTGTGCTTTGAAAGGTGTTGGCAGAATTCTGACTGGAAGCTGTAATAGGTGACCATAAGCAAAATTTTGGAAGTGCAGTGCAGCTTTATGCTGGGTCTAGTGCATGCAGACCAGATTGTTGTTGTTCAGCAGCTCATTGAGAAGTATATGTATGTGAGAAAGAAAGGTTACCCAGATTTGATTATTTAAGAAAAGCATATGATAAACTGAATACACTTGAATTATGAAATATTTTGCAGAAAAAATAAATTGACGATTGTTTTCTGAAAGTGTGATATTTTAGAAGGAAAGCAAAAAAGGACTGTGAGAATAAATGGGATGTCCAGTGAGTGGTTCAAATTTTAGAGAACAAAACAAGTACAGATAGTCCTCACTTAACAACCATTTCTTTAGTGACTGTTCGAAGTTACAACGGTGCTGAACAAAGGGACTTACAACCAGTTCTCGCACTTACAATCATTGCAGAACCCCCGTGGTCACATGATCATGATCCGGGTGCTTGGCAACCAGCTCGCACTTACAATGTTTGCAGCGTCCTAGGGTCACATGATTGCCAATTGTGACCTTCCCAGGTGGCTTCCAGCAAGCAAATTCAATGGGGAACTGTGTGATTCCCTTAACGACCATCTGATTTGCTTAACAGTCACCATGATTCACTTAATGACTGCTGCATAAAAGGTCATAAAATCAGGCACAACTTGCTTAATAACCACCCTCCTTAACGACAAATTTTCCAGTCCCTATTGTGGTCGTTAGGTGAGGACTACCTGTGTGTGTAATAACCCTTTAATTGTTTAATGTATTTCTGGATAAAGCTATAATGCTTATAGTGATATAAGAGGTGTGTTGGCTGGGAATATGAATGTGCATGTATTTTTGTATACAGAAGATGCTGTGTTGATTGCTGAGAATTAAGAGATTTGTAGTGAATGTTAGATCATATGATGCAACAAGAAGTATGGATATGAAAATTGATATATGAAAGACCGTTGTGTTTGATAGGGAAAATGGGGTGAACAATAAATTGGAAAAGGAAGGGCAAGTAGATGAATCTGTATACCATGGTAGAATGTCTACTAAAAATGGAAAATAAATGGAGAAATTTTAAGATCTATAAGTGCTGGTAGAAATGTAGTGGTTAGTATATGGTCTGATGTGAGGGATGAATGTTGTTAAAAGAAATAAAAATGGTTATGTAATAAAAACATGCTTCCTCCTATTATGTTGTATATAACTGACAGTTGGGCATCTTAGGAGTAACATAAATGCACTGTAAGAAAGATCTAAGTGGAAATGGGGTTCTTAAGAAGTTTGTGTGGGAAAACAAGGATAGGATTAAAAATGATTATGTGCCATCAAGTCATTTTTGATTTCTAGCGACCACATACATAGATTTTCTCCATGACGATCTATTCCTGATCTGTTCAAGTCTCCCAAAGGTGCACTCATCGCCACTATAACTGAGTCCATCCACCTTCCTGCTAGTCGTCCTTTTCTTCTCTTTCTTTCCACCTTTCCCATTAGAGCCTTCTCCAGAGAGCTGGATCTTTGTATAATGTATCTGAAGTAGGATAACTTGAGCCTGGTCATTTGTGCTTTGACTGAAAGCTCTGGGTTGATTTGTTCAATGATCCATTGGTTTGTTTTCTTGGCTGTCCACAGTATTCTCAGGAGTCTTCTCCAACACCAAAGTTTAAAGGCGTCAATACTGTTCCTATCTTGCTTCTTTAAAGTCCAACTTTCACTTTCATAGGGTGTCACAGGAAATACCATAGCTTCCACAGTTCTGATCTTTGTAGGTAAAGAATGAATGGGTGCTGAATAAATAAGGACTGAATACAAAAATGAGTGACCAATACAAAATACATACTTTGAAGTGGTTTAATCATATAATACATGAAATGAAATTTCACAGAATATATGTAAAAAAGATAAATGAGTCAAGAGAAAAGGGAAGCATGAGAAAGCTGCAGATGGATGGAGTTGGTGAGATCTTCAAAAAGACAGAAATGAGAAATGTAAAGAACAAAAGGCAGTATATGGAAGTGATATATGGTTGTGGTGGAAGCAAGGATGGTTTGCAGGTCATGAAGATACAATAGGTATAATGAATAGTGTTGGTATAAACTAGATAGTTATATTACCTTTTCTTATCTTGTGCCTTCAAATACTTCAGTTTACTATTTCTTATTCCCTTCTGTTTACCCCTGAAAGTGGTAAACCCCCCTTATCCCTGAAAGTGAATAGTATGATGGATACATGTATATGTAAATTTCTTTTAGAAGCCTGATTAAAATTTAAAGTCTTTCCAAGGCCAGAAGTGAAGTACTTGTATGATCCTCTAAGAAGAGGCCATTACACAACTTAAACACCAGAATGGAAAGAAGCTTCTGTTATTTTTTTCCACCAAGAGTTCTTTTGGAGGAAGAAGAGAGAAGAAGTTTCTGGCAAATCAAGATGATGCTAGAATGACACACATTCAATAACATATTCACACAAATGATGCGATTATGAACTTGCATCTAGACATCTGACCCAAGAACATACATCACAGCATTTGCATGATTACATCATTACATAAATATTATCACTCTTCCCACCCCCATGGATGCCTATTGACCTATGCCTCCACAGGAGAGGGTAAGTGAAGAAACAAGTGTCGTGACACAAACTTCTTCTCTTATCTATTTTCATGTGATGTCATAACATAAGTATGAAAGGATGGAACTGGAGTTGTGAAGTCACAATGCATGTTTTGTCATTTTGGCACTGTTCTGATTGGGAACGGACATTTATGTCCACATATTTCTGTGGAATTCTGTGACGTAATTCTTTTAACTTTGTTCCAAGAAGTTTCCACATCTTCTTTCCTTATGTTCCCTTTCCATGAATCTATTTTCTAATATTTTTTCATGTGGGAGACAATACTGTCTCTTCCTACTTCCTCTCTATATTCTTTCATTTATTTTCTTTCTTTCATTTATTTATTTTTTCCTAATATCCACTCCTGACACCAACATATAGTGGTCTACCCATATTCAGAAGAATTCATCACCCTTGTATTCTTCACTAATTTTCGCAGCCTTTCATCATAAATAATTGAATAAATTGTGCTTTTAGATTTATATCCTTCTTTCCCATGAATACATATGAATAGACTCATATCTGAAACTAACATACCTTTTTCTAAGCAGATACTCACCAATCACCAATCTTGCTTGCTCTTGGATCTCTGAATGGTCCATTCACTCTTTTTTTAGGCTTTCTTCTCTTGGTCCCACCCATCCATTCATGTCATCTACCAGAATAATTTTTTCCCCAAATGACTCTCATTCAGAATTTTGCACAATTTTCCCCAAAATTCACTGTGGTTCTTCTTTTAACCATAGGTTGGCAAATATCACTAACTATTTTTAGATTTTTACTTTGATATGTACCCCACAATAATCTGGATGACATCAATTCATACTTTCTAACTTAGATGTTACCCTTTCATTCATAAGTAAATCTAAACCTTAACTTCCCTGCATGTATTCATCAACTTTGGAATATTGTCCCCCCAGAAGTGCAGCTGGCCCCTAGCCTCCCAGCTTTCTGGAAAGAATAAAGACCTGGCTCTGCCAGCTTGCCGGGGCAACAAGAATCTTAATCCTGGGCATGGCTGGTGCCCTGATGACCCTCCCTGAGCTACTTACCAATTAACATAAATTCTTGGACTATATTTCTTATTTAT